TCTCTTGCTGAAGGGGCAGTCTTCTACCATGAGGCCCTTCTTCTACCATGGCTCTCACTAACTTAGCAAATAGGGGCATGTCCTGCCCTGCTCTGGGTAGGTAGTAAGACTGGGGGCTAAGGCGCTTTGGGCCTTTGGTGGGAGGCTGGGACAGAGCGTCCCCCTCGAGGCTGGTACAGCTGGGTCCCCGTGACTGCCCAGTTAATCCCCTGGAGATAGGCACTAGCGGTTCAGAGTGGAGGGCACAAGGCCTGTAGAGAGCAGACCCTCCGGGCAGGATGCATTGGCTCCCAGCAGGTAACTGGGTATAGGGGATGGTCTGTTTCTCTTCACCTGACTGGTGGGGACCCTGATCTCTTAGAGCCAGGTCAGGGATGGAGTAGGACCGTATTGAGAGGGCTTGACCAAGACCTCTAAGGGTGGATTCATGATGGGTCACTGAGAACTGTGTGACCCGAGGCAGGGCCTCTCTGGGATCTTTTTCCTCACCTGGAACACAGGAGTCAGTGGCAGAGGTCTCCATGGTGTCTTCTCTCTGTTGAACCTTCTGTCCCAATCCTGGGACAGAATGAATAGAAGATTCTGAGTGGAGGTGCTGGCAATGGTGCTAGGGGCTCATGTTGTCTAGCTAGTGTCCCTTAGAGCAGTTTTACGGTGAAGGGGAGGGTGGTGGTTTGGATACTGAAGGGAATTGGGGTCTCCAGCAGATTTTGAACAGGCCACTGTGAGTTTGGGGGCCGATACTGGCCTCCTGGGCTGGAGGAGGAGGCCTGAGTCTCACCTTTTCTGAACCCAAGGGTGAGTCTGGACTGATACTGTCCGCTCTGGCTTGTTTTCCTGCATGGTAAGTCAGTGGACCAGAGTAGGGGCTTCTAATGCGATCATTTTTAGACATCCAACAAACATAAACTCCTAGCCTCTGATGGGATGAATAAGGTAGACTGCACAGTGCTGAGTGGGAGGGCCAGAATGAACCCATTTCCCAGGGAGCAAAACCAAGGCTCTGAGAGACAAGGTTAGCTGGGTAGCCTAGGCTGACTTTAGTCCCAGGCTTTCTCTTCTGCCCTAGTTGGTGACAGCATCCTTGCATCCTCTCCAGAGGGCAGGAGTCTCAGGTGAAGGCTACCTGGTAACTCAGGAGGGTAGATCCACCCACCATCTGCTAGTTGGGCTGTGAGAAAGGGGTGGCTTTCTGGCCTGTGTCACCTGTCATTGGTGATGCACCCAGGAGCAGGTGGGTAGGGAGACATCAGATGTAAGCTTTCCTTAATCCCTCAGATTCTGTTTCCTGGGGAAGAGACAAAAGGCCTCCTGGGCCCACCTGGAACCCACCCCGCACCCCCATATTCCCGCCGCCCCACTCAAGCCCCACTCAAGACTTATGTCCCAGCCCCAGTCTGTAGTGAGCTGCTGTCTGGGCCCACCCTTCAGGCCCTGAGCCAGGTAGGAGGGGAGAGATAATGGAGGGGTCTGACTCATCCCTGTGTCCCCACTCCTATCACAGAGCCACACAAAACAGGGCAGCAGGAAATGCTCCCTGCCAGTGGAGACCATGATCGATCGATCCATCTATATGTAACAGGAGCCTGAGGTGGAGATGTGTCATGGAAAGCCACTCTCTGGGAGTGGCTAGGGTCATATCAGGGGTCAGGAGAGTTGGTTACCAGCCCCTTGGTCCTGGGCCTTTCCTCATTGTGGGGGTGCTGAGCAGAATACCCCTTGAGGTCTTAGGCAGAGCCAAGAAGGCTATTTGGGGACAGACCACTCTGGGTAGAGTGGCATCTCCCTGGGAGACCTGCCCAGACAACTCCCAAAGGGTTACAGTTCTGGGGGGCCCTGGCAGCAGAGGCTACTACTGGGTAGCTACCAAGCTAGGCTGCTGATTGGCTGTTGCCCTTGGACTTTGCCCTCCCTGATAAGGACAAAGCAGAAATCATTAACTGGATTATTAACTGGGGTGGCCCCACCCTGAGTAGGCAGCCTGCCTTCCCTTCCTCCTCCTCACGGCCTAGGCCTCAGGCATTCCTCTGCACCTCAGTTTCCCTTGGTTGGGGGTGGCTCCTCTTCCAACTTAAGGTCT